TTGAACTCAATAACTAAGATGACAATGACGACACTTAAAAAATGGATGAATTTGTATGTATGAATCTATAGTTCTATATGCACCGTTTCATGTATTGTAGGTGTAATTAACTCAAATTACAATGCCAACCTATCTCCTATTACTTACAGTGGAAATCACATAGGAGTATTTTGTTTCTCGATACTTTGTTATTTTGGCAATCGTATACCATATGTTCCAAATCAGGCGGTAAGGTAGGTCTGAACTCTTGAGCTCAACCACGAATCTTCTATCTTTTATTTATTTAAAAAAAACTGGTAATATTTTTTAAACTGTTAAATTAAGTTTGCTGATATTTGAGTATGTCTGAGTCAATTTTGAGAAGGCATTTTACACTTCTTGTTTCATAAAACTGCAAATTGATTAGAATGCTAGCACACTGCTCATGTGTTGCTACGAAATTATAAAATACAAGGAGTTCGGTCACTGGCTTAGGAAGTCATCAAAGTATTGTTCATGCAGTCTTTGCACGCCGTTCATGATTATAAAAGGAAAAAAACAAAAAAAATGGCATACATTGGAGAATCCTAAGCGATCATTACAAGACACAACATTTCAAATATTGAAACATATGAGAATAGACAATTTGTATGTTGACTGCACAAGGCACAAAGGTCGTGGATCGGGTAGGACAATGTCTATCGTCGCTGTGGAATTACAATTTCTTCACACATATTTCTATGATATAGAAGTATAGAACCGAAAGAAATTTGTTAGCAGGAAATTGAAAACGAGAGCATTATTTTGAGTTGGAGTTGCATTTCTGCATTTGTTATTTGTTTTTTCTTGAAGTGTTGATCTCACATAAAAGTAGTAATGTAGTTATTTATTTGTGGTAGGTCCCATATGTGAGTACAAAGTAAATTTATTTATGTTTTGAAATATTGTTGGTCCCACATGTGGGTAGTGATACATTTGTTTATTGGTAAAACTTGTTGGTCCCACACGTGGGTAGAAGGGCATCTGTTTATTGGTTATAAGGTTGTTGGTCTCACATGTGGTAGATGTGCATTTGCTTATGGGTGAAGGTTGATGGTCCCACGTGTGAATTCACCACCAACTCCAACCTTTATAAGTAGGAAAGACCATGGTTACACTTTACTAAGAGCCAGTTCTTTTTGCGTGATGATTCTTCAGAATCTGATTCTAGGAGACTGCCCACAGAATCACCCGCCCACAAAATCTGCCGTCTAGTTCTTATCTCAGATTCCAGCTTGTGATTGTTGTATGAGTTGTGTGTTGAAATGTCTGTAACGCTCCTAGATTGGAACTGAGTGTTGATTGCTAACACTTGGTTATTTCAGATAGTTCCATGCCTAATATGAACATGAAAGCGAGATGCAAATCTCATGCAGTGCTTAATATTACAATTTTAAAGCGAGTTGCAAATATCACAAAGTGTTTGATATTACAAAATTCATACTAAGTCAACTTGCAACATACAATTTAGAAAGTAAATAAGCATCCAATTTTTTATAGCACATATTTCCTAAACATTGAAAGAAAATACATAGAGATATGAGAGTGAGAGAGGATGAGACGGAAGCAAGCATAGATTCAACCGACCAAAACACCAGATGGCAGTTAGCACAGTTCTCACCCGTACTAGAGCATCCATGAATGCATGCTTTCGATCGATCCATCTTTCAGCCAAGCATGCATTCAGTTTTGTTTGCACTATTTTGGAAAGTGTAGAGTAAACAAGGCAATGAAAGTGTGTAGTTCTGAATTCGGAGTTTCATTCAGGCAGTCAAAGTCTTGAAGATTTTTGTATGGATTTGCAGGGTGATGGTAGGAATCAAGAATATGATGGACGCAATAATGTAAAATTGATAACTTTGGCTGGGATGAAACACAAATTTTACTCTTTTATACCGGTGCCAAAGAGACAGAGAAGAGCAGGAAGCTAGCCAGCTT